AAGAGTCACTCGCACGCTGTCTACCCTAACTTTATCACCTACAAATTTGAGCCCTGGAAACTTTATTCACCGATAGAAACACAAATCTGCTGCCTGGTCCGCGCGGATTTTTTGTCTAGTATACTTAAGATTTAAACATTTAATAGTTAAATGCTAATAAAATATATATATATATAAAGAACTGGTTATTTTACTATATCTTCTCTAGGTGAAGGTTAACTTTACCCGACATGCGCTCCAATTACTCTCTTGAAAACATCGAAACTCATTAACTCAACACTAATTAGTTCGTACTTATTCTACTCTTTAGTAGGATTGTAGTCTTTATAGTTCCAAGAATGCTTACTGAATTTTGTTAAGACCTGTATTTGTGTTTGTTGACAAGTGACTGACGACCCATATAGATAACAAGTAAAAGAATCTGTGCTCCACATACTGTGCCAAAGGTTAACCGAGCGATGATCTACTCGTATTCTTAATTGCACCGAAGCATTATGCTAACGACTGTCCGACGTGATGTGTAAAAGGTTTGTTTGTACCGTCTTAGTGAAGAACCGATAGATTGTTGTGTTTGAATCAATGCTCTTGATTGTTGCTCTCGCATTTTAAAATTTCGTGGCATTCTTGCCACGTCGTCGGTCGGAATTAGCAACGTTATCACTGCTTCAAATGTAAATTTAATTTAACGTCCTTGCCTCTTTCTGATGTTTAATATGCAAGTCTTACAGCTATTCATAAAGAAATAAGGGGAAAAATTTAAAATACAGCAATTGGCAAGGTCAAAAAAAAAATGGTAACGCTGAAAATAAAACTTTTTTCGTATAATTTGTAGTTGTAGCTGCAATATCGTTATTATCTACAAATTTTGTGAGAATTCGCCTACTTATTAAAGTAGGCGATTCACGAGGTTCATGTACAGTCTGTTGCTGGACGAACAGACTAACTGATGAACGAACAGTGGAGGCTATAAGAGGGTTCTGTAGTTACCCTTTGTGTGCGATACCCTATAGTGGAAAGTTTCACTATTCAAAATCAAAAATCATAATAAATAATAATTCATTCAGTTTAGGCTTTTACAAGCATATGTAAAAGTAGAAAGCAATGCCATCGGTTCACAAATCAAAGGCGGGGAGACCTGGTTCTGAGAAGAACCGGCATGAAACTTAGCAAGGGCTGCTTTTTTCTCCCTGTATAGTACAGTGTAGTGTAGTGTAGTGTAGTGTAGTATACAGTGTCGTCAAATTGAAAGCTGTCATCAAACTTATAAACATGTATTGAGGTCAACTTCCATCACATAATATAAAAAAGATAAGAAGACAAGTTTAAAATAACTTTCAAAAATTTTTTAAAGGTGTGGCGGCGACATCTATATGCCCCACATATAGACAACGGATGGAGGAAATCATTACTCACCATCCTCAAGAGATGGCGTTACCTGCACTGCGATCATTAATAGTATGGAAGCCTACATACAATGGTAACTTAAGTTTGTTTTTATTTTTGTAATAAAGATGTATCATCAGCAAACAATACAATCTCACAGAATTTCTCCACAAAAAATGGCAAATCGTTTTTATACTGTAGAAATAGAAACGGAACCAAAATAGAACCCTGGGGAACGCCCGTTAACACATGAAAAGCAGATGACTTGACTCTAGAACTGAATAGTATTTTTGGGCTGCGACTTTAACTCCATAGTGACTCAATTTCATTACCAGCATCCGATGCCCAACGTAATCAAAAGCCTTGGACAAGTCACATAATACTCCAAGAACATTTTGCGACTCCTCCCAAGCCTCCAATATATGTCCAATAAGTGCAATACCCGCATCAGTCGTACATCCTTTGGTAAAGCCAAATTGTTATGTAACAGTTTATTCAAATTGAAATGTGATAATAATTGATCTAAAATTATTTTTTTGAAAATTTTACTTAATACCGGCAATACTGATGTAGGTCTGTAATTACCGGGGTCATCTCTATTTGCAGATTTAAAAAGAGGTATAACTTACTATGTTTTTCATGAAAATAGAAATACTCCCTGATCAATACAATCTTTATATATATAATTCTTCTGTGAGTGTGTATGTCACTGAACTTCTCTTAAACGACTGGACCGATTTTGATGAAATTTTTTGTGTGTGTTCAAGGGGATCTGAGAATGGTTTAGATTCACAAAGACGTGTAGACAGGACAACGTCTGTCGGGTCCGCTAGTTATTAAATATATCTGCAAAATAAGGAGCGATGACCATTAGATTTTCAATATTATTTAAGACTTTAAGACAGATACCATCATCACGTGTTTTTTCTTTACTCGTTTCACGATTAATAACATTCCAAATGGTTTGATTTTATTATAAGAAGTCATGATTTTACTTTTAATGTAATTTGATTTAGCTGTAGCACAAACTTTTTGAATGTTTTTGCATAATGATTAACGTAATCAACGAAGCCTTGAGAATTATTTTCCATAAGTGGTACAATTTATATAGCTTCTTTCTAGATTTATAAATACCAGTCACAGCCCAGTCACAGAATTCCAACTTCTGAGAAAATTTGGTAGTCTTAAATACCTATCTTTTGCTCTTATTTTAGAGCTGTCACCACACATAATAAGTATATTAGTTTATTAATTTACCTGGCATACATATATTAGTAATACTTTAATTACAATAATTTCTTAAAAATAGTCCAAAACCGCATTCTAATTTATCTGAGAATATAATTTTTACTTCTAATTGTATTATTAGATAGCACTGGTTTAAAGTTACTTCTAAATGTGTTATCAGTTTGTACTAATACTTGCTGAGACATTTCAATAATCAATTTTTTGGCGCTGCTTATATTTCGTGAGGACTTCTCTACCGATTTGGTAATACGGCCACCATTTAAACATATGTTTTGATAACTGTTAACAGTTGAAGTGTTTCTAAAAGCGAGCTCATTACTAAAGTAATTAAGATATATCCTTCTGGTGTCGAAACGGTGAAAGCTCCTTTGAATATATTATTTGTAATTAATGATAACATTACAACACATTAGCGGATGCCATCCATTTTTTTCGTAGAAGGCGCCTAAATTAATCTCGGAATGATGAGTAAATTTATTTGTGTATCTAGTTCTATTTATCATTAAATATGTTTTCTATTTTCTCCCATGCTGGACTGGGAACGAAAAAATCAAATAGATAGTGCCATCTGCTTACTTTGCTGTGCAGATAGGTAGTTCCTAAATTGCAATCAACGGATATAACAATATTAGAAATTTTATTGCTGTAGATAATGGGGTTGGTACACCTGTCACGTTGTTTCGACAACCTCGGACCTTACTTGACCTCGTGTTTTCGGACCTTATCAAAGTCAAAATATACCAAAAACTTGATTGAAGAATTAACAAACATCAATTTTGTCTTATTCATGAGAAATGAAAGTTGAAGAAAACATCCTTATTTACGCGAGGGACTTCCTTTTTTATTGTGAAGTGTTTAATGATGTTTCCTCGTAAACAACTTTATATGTTAGTTTTCACGGAAATCGAGAAAATAGGCGTTACTATTTATTAATAACGTAATGAAAATAAATAAGAAATAATTATGAGGTTTTAAGTTTAAACTGAATTGTTTTGTCAATGAATGTCCCAGTTAAATCAGTGCATACTTCACCACTGAGTTTAGGAGATTGATGGCGATGATGGTAGCGCATTCGGCCGGCGATCGTGAAAGTTAGGCAACTTTTGCAATGATCGGTCAATGGATGGGGGACTAAAAATTTATTATCTCGAGCTCCTTCGTGCTTCAGAAGGCACGTTGAGCCGTTGGTCCCGGCTGCATCTGCAGTCATTTGCATCCACCAATCCGCATTGGGCCTGCGTGGTGGGTCACGGCCCAGTATCCCTCTGCCATCCATAGGGGAAGGCCTGTGCCCCTGCAGTGGGGGCATTAATATGCTGATGATGATGAGTTATAGGATAACCATATATAACTCATCATTATAATGACCAAAAATTTTACTATCTCCAGGTCTTCCATGTTTCGGAAGGTAAGTGGAGCATTTGAATCTGGCTTTATCTGCCATCGATATCCAAACATCATGGTTCGTTTACTTTATTCCATTCATAGGGAAGGTATGTGCCCTAGCGGTCACGACTATATTGGTATGATGATGAAGAACTTACACTTCAGTAACCAATGCATTAACTTTTTACCGCAATAAGATTTTACATACGTTTTATCGATTTTTTATAACTTGGGAACGGGAACGGGAATGGTTCATACATTATTTTATTATGATTAATCTTGTAACCTGCAAAATAATATTAAAATAAAATCAATACCAGAATAGATTATAACATAGTTATTAGTCTCATTAAAGTAGTACGTAGTTAAGTTTTTTCTAAACACTTAATATTGACTGAAACAAAAATCATAATAGGGACAATCACGCAACATTTACGTAACAGACACACTGAACGAAGCAAAAAAACTGAGCATTCGGCAATATTACTGCGTGTGCGCCGGCGTCTACAAGGTGGTGTGATTCTCGTACGATACCACCACCTAAACGTAGCGGCTATTCCAACTGTACACACTGTGTCATTGGCACAGAAATTACTAGTAGGAAAAAATATACGTAAAACGACTTACCAATTCAGAAAATGTTTCTTATTATAAAATTAAAACCACAATATTATCAATGCTCAATGTAAAATTACATTATATATTACTAATACACATTAGTAATACTTGGTTAACTTGACATTGACACCGAATTTGGCATGAAATTATTCTCAAAATTACGGATAAGTCATCCACACAAAAATATACCTTTCTTCGCTATATACCATGTAAATGTCTTAAAAATCATTTTTCATCAATGACCTCTATCATTGTCTTTCATGTTCCAAAGATGACAAGTTTATTCAAAGAGTATTCGTAGTAGATAAGTTTGGGTTTTTCTATCTCAAGTTTAGCACAGTAATCGAGTTTCGTCGTTGCGGTGACGCTCGTCGAAATCGCCGGCCGGCTGCCTGCGCTGCGACCGACCGCCAGTCGCATACGAGCAGCTGCACAGCCACTACGCCACACGTTACAACAAGCAACCGCACCGGGGCGTGAAAAACTTTATATTGAAAAGATTAAAATACATCCCGTGAAACAAAGTGAAGTGCGACAGTGCAGATTGAGTGATCCGCAAAATCACCACCAGATCCGACCAGCATCTTAAAGTCAGCGAACGAAACGAAACGACAATTTAAATATTTCCAACGATTTGCACAATATCTACGGTAAGTAGTTTTCGATTCCATTATGCATCGTTGCATTCGGCAATATGATACCTCTTCATATTTCAACACTAGTGGATTTAAATTTAAAATTTATCCGGTCATTGATTGATTACTTACTACCTACCGACATATTCAGAATAAATTATTAGATAAAAGAACATTCGGAAATTCGCTGTTTGTTCGATGTATTTCGGTAATTTAGGTGTATTTGGTTATATGATATCAGCTTTTTTAACTATGTCGTTATAGAAAAACTAGTTTTCAAGGTTCTCTAGCGGAATTAACTATTAGAAGCTGTAGCTGGCTATTTGTTTTTAAGTAAAACCGCAAAGTTTTTAAACTGAAGTGAATAGTAAAATAAACTTTGAACTTCAATATTTTTACTCAGTTTAGGCTAATATTTTTTAACAACTAGTTATAGTATGTTTTGGGACTACTACATAGGTATTTGGCACAGTTACTTACGCCTTGCTAGATAAGACACGATAACATTATTAAAATCAATTGTTTTAGAAATAATATTGGGACAGCTTTGTGATAATATTACGAGTTTTATGAAAATCTATGATCTTAAATGTTTATTATAATATTTCTTGAATAAGTATTTATTTATTAGAATTATTTTGTTTAGAAATGTAACAATACTTTAAATTAAAAAACTGTATCGTTCAGGTCTATTTGCTCAGATTGACAGTCCCTTCCATAGTTCTATAGAATCTATGATGGATTATTTGCAGCTACGCGTTATTTTTACTGTGCATCCAAAAGTACCAATAACGGAAACTTTTTTGAAAACGGGACAGTAAGCCATCAATGCTATTGTAAACTTTCTCGGCACCTAAATATCATTGTCTATATTGTTACTATATTGTTTATTTCAGAATTGTGTGTAGTGCATGCATCTATTCTTTGATTATTTTGTAAATAACAATTTCAAAGACAATAAAAAACTAAATACGTTTCAGAGCAGCATATAAAGACATAATTGTCATATAAGATGAATGGTTGTAGAGCTGCCGCCACAACACCAATACAAATTGAGGTAATCCGGCAGACAGAGGTGGTCCCAGTGGTTGAAAAAATAACATAACATGTAACGATGATGCAGCAAAGCTTTAAGCGTTCACGCAACTCGTCATAGACACGGAGGCTGCGCCGGCGCAGGTCTCGGCTATTAACGTAATAGTCGCGTGATTATGGAACGATTTCGATTAACCCCGCGACCACCAACCAGTGCTCGCCCTACTAGTTCATTTCCTTCTTCTAACTACTAGCTTAGAAAATTAACTTTAAGTAAAATATTACTTGTGTAAACGTCAGGTTAATAAGGATCCCTGGACATACTGTTTATCAAATTCTTCGTAATAAGTCCAATGGTTACTACTATAAAAAGTAAAAAATAACCGATTTCGAAAATGTGTTGTTTCTCAATTATGATTTAAGCAGTATTAAATTTTAACGTGTCGTTATAACATAAGATGAAGAATATTACATGATTATTATTAAAACATAGTTCTTATTATAAAACTATTAACCTGAAATCAATTTGTTTTAGGTTGAAAAATATGAGGCTAACCTATCGAAACTACTCGATGATAATTACCTTACACGGGTACGGTTATATACTCGAATAATATATTCGTGTTATGTCTACAATGACTTTGATAGTTTGTCTTAGACCTTAGCCCCACTTATAGCTTGGTGAATTATTATTTCGACGTCACTATCTACGTGAGCATAGTTTTTATCTGTAACATTGACCTACAATGTATCTAACCAGCATGTCATTCTAAGGGGAAGGGTAAATAAAAAATAATTTGTAAGCAAAATGTAATTTGTAACCTCCATAGGACGAAATATTGATTTTCATCATCAAAAACTTATATTATTTAGTGTATTTAGGTCGTTTATAGCCAGTATTCTCCTTAAGTTACTTATGAATTTATTATTTAATAGGAGTGCAATTTAATTTCAAAATAAGCATAGCAATGCAATCTGAATACTAATGATGCACATGCATCCTTGATACTTACAACACAGATTCTGAGAAATGTCAATGTCTATAATATCAATATTACAGTAAAACTTAGCTAAAATTGGTTATACAAACCAGTGTTCTATCTAGCTATAAAATGACAAATATTTTTGATTTATGATCTCTAACCGGAATACGTTTGAGAAGGATGTGACCCTCAACTTAAGCTTCACCACCGTATTAGTCAACATTTTTTTTATATCCACAATAGCATTAACATTGGGTTAAGGCCTATGGAATTGTAAATTCATTTCCTTCTCTATTTATAATACTTGGTATTCTTCAAGTTTTATTCGTCTCTTTATAAGATTTGATTTGTGTGTTTACTATAGTTATGTGAGCTCGACACATGATAGTTTTATTTTACATAATTAAAAAATATATTTCGTTGCATGCTTTTGAATTCGCTAAAAATGAATGTTTATTATGTTTATGAGCTACTGAACGTCACGGTTAAAATTCCTGGCTTAAAATCGGCATAGTGAAAGTACCTACCTACTTTCACCCCTCGGATCGAAATGATTCTGTTGGCAAAATCTGTATCAACATTTAAACATACGGCGTGCAAAAAATTGCGGTCATTAGGTCTTCATCCGATGAATAATATGAAGCTATGTTAGTGCGCTGTTTGTGAGACACTGTAGCGGATCTTGACACAACGAATTTATTTAGTAACAGTATTTGCATAATTACCTAATTGTGTCTAAGACAGTTATTGATCAATCTTATGTTATTTTCTCATCCTTATTTAATTAATAAATATTAATTTCCAACACTCACACCAATTAGCCTAGCTAGCCAATAATAGATTTATGCTATTGTAAGTTCCCAGAAGAATATTAGATTTTTTAAGATAATGGATTGCTGAGCAGCTAATATATAATTACTCAAATATTTTTTCTATATTTTTTCTGACTTAGTAATTGGTTGTATACTTATTTGTCTCGAGTGCTTTGTCTACATAGGTTTGTTTATATTCACATCGTATCTTTAGAGTATTCCCGTATCAAATAGATAACTGAGTTTTGTGTTTGCTGTTATAGCATCATGCTATACCTAAAATTTTGTTTTAATTTTTTATATGTAGTACGAGTGTAGTGTGGACGTATAATTAAAACAAATCCAGGCCCTGAATTATCTCAAAATACTTTATTTGTTACAAGTATTTTTTGTTGACTTCGAAATAAATATTTAAAAAACAAGCTCACTAGTTTTTCTATAATATCACTTAAGAATATTAAAGTTAAATTTGACTATAGGTAATGTCACGTCAAATACATTGTAAATGTGTCGAATTTTGACAAATGGTTATTTTTTCCTCTAGTATTTTAAACTGTAGTCAAATTGAACTGTGTTTTAAACAACGCGACTTTTTATTTTTAGTTATAGTTCATGTTGGTGAATGAAAGAGTGACATGTCATGCTTGAAACGCGTGAATGGATACGTACAGGCGCGTTCATAATATAAATGGGTCAGTGAAGAAGAGGTGTGTCCATATTAATAGGTCCGATGCTTGGTTTGGTCACAGTAGCTATTGTAATTGCTTCTATTGTCACGCATATGTAGCAAAGCGGTTAGCGTTCGTCGTGATTGTGCATCTCCAAAACAATGCCTTCACGGTACCATCTTTTGTTTGTCCGGCTCTCAGAACTGCTTTGAGGCGGGCAAACATTTCTCGATCTACGTCCGGATAGGTTTATGTAAATGCGTTTTACCGTGAAACGCCACTAGTAACGATTCATTGACCCCAAAACTCACTGTGCTTCTGTGAATTACTTATATAAAAAACTAGCATTATAACACCCAAACGGGTGTTATAATGGTTTTTTTTTGTTTTATTATTGCATTGGATGTCTTGTAAGATTCTTTTTATTTATTATAGGGTGTACCAAATTAATCGTACTCGACAAAATGGTTTTTGAAAACACCGATAATGTTATCCTTAAGTAACAGGAACTAACAGCGATTAATTAATTTGACTAATTGATTTAATTAGAGAGCATGAGAACTTAAATTATCAAGCGGACGCCGATAATGGCGGCTTGATAAAACAAATATTAACATTGGCACTTATGAACTATATGCTCTTTTACGAGTTGTTGTTTAAGATACAGAATCATGATAATCACTATCACAGGATATAAGAAGTTTACCCTTTTAAGTTCCTAATGTTACTATTTATTTATAGGAAATTTAGGGTATATTACCTTTATAAATAGAAAATTTGTGTGTGTGACCACAATAAGACTCGACAGATGCAAAATTTGTTATGGAAAATGAATTTAGGACTTAAAACACTCCTGCATTGCGTATAATTATTTTTGTACCAGTTCTTAAAATCTTTTGCTTTAATGGTTTTTACCCGATGACGATATTTTTTTATAAAATTTGCTTAATTTCATATCTTAATTTTACATTTAGTTCAAATATAGGAAAGAATGTATGTTGACTAGTTTTAATAACTAATAATACAGGTTTATTTTAAAATCATGTAGCTATTGAAAGATGCCTTCCACAGAAATGCTGTGATGCTTTCAAATAATCGTTTGTCTGATGAGAGTAATAATTATCTTACGGTCTGCTCGGCAAATAAGGAAATAAGTAGGTTATGTTATTGCAATTATACTGAAGTGTAAACAAAATAATTAACAGTGAATAAATTGTACACTGTAAATCAATAGATAATTTACAGTGAACTTGACTTATTTTTGCGTCATCTTATATTAGAACGTACCTTTGTTAAATTGTACACTATACTTACATTAAGTTAATTTTCTTATGTCATAGGCATTGAAAAACTGTTATAATTATAAATTTTAATTAATAATTTTTAATTCGTTTAGTGATTGAATTTTAGTGGAAAATCTATTATACTGAAACCTAATATTATTATAATTTATATTTTTTCCAAATCAATTTTAATAAGCCATATTAAGGTAAGCGTTTTGATATTATTTAGTGATT